CCGGGAGGTCAGCTGTTGTGAGAAATTGTGTTCCCCTGACATATTCTGTCCCCCTGTGTCGGGAGATCGCACTTCTGCTATTTTCACAACGTTTGTGATCAACTTTTACGGTAAAATGATGTAATGTAATGTAATAATGTCATGCTTGTGATGTTTACCTATATTTCCTCCTAAAAACAATAAAAGGTAACAGTAAAAACATTCTTGTTATGTAAAAGGATGTAATCTCACTCCGTTTAACCACCTTTTATTTGAGGTAGTTTAGTCCTCAATACTGACTATAAGTGCTGTGAATTAGGAAATATTTGCTCTTGACTAACTAAGGGAACTGAATATTTTAGGGTCATGGTGTGGATGATGGTGCACTCGATGTAGACAAACTGGTTGCCGCTACCAGCTAATGGATATGGAGCGATCATTGGCTGCTTGTTAGCCACGGCCGGGGAAGGAGGGTTGGTGAGCCGAGGACACACTGTGGAGATCAAGTAATCAACGCTGACTTAGCCACCAGCTAATCGAGGCTCACGGCTGGCGTGGTGGAGATGGCACCCCGAGCTACTTGTCAGCAGAGCTGGGGATAACGATTATTTTTAAAACGATTATTCTGACGATTATTTTATCGAATAGTCGACTATTCTAATTACTATTTAGACAATTAGTCTAATGATTATTTTTCTATTGGACAGTTAATAAAAACCAAAAAAATCTTAATTCCTCAAAAAATTTATAAATTGTTACTGTAAGAGAATAAACACTACAGGCCTTCCATTTTGTATAACACTGTTTTTACTGTGTTGCGGTTGGTTGTGTTCTGGTGAAAGGTAGAACTTGGGAGTGCAGGCTGCTGCCTGAGAGGTGGTTGGAGACGGAGTGTCTCCATGCTGCTTTGTTTTGGTCACTTATGCGCGTGAGGCGAGTGTGTTACGACCCTTCCTGGGAAGTTTGGCTCGTGTGCAAAAAGGAAGGGACAATAACGGGATTTAAAAGTTAAAATGATGATCAGGTTTATTTACAACTACAAAAAAACAAATCTTTTCATCCACAGCTTGGGAATAATAAAACTAATTCTGCTGTGGGGAATTAAAACAAAAGTACAAATAACTAGGGATGTCCCACTGGGCAAAGATTACTGGGTTCTGGACCAAAATAAGGATCTCCAAAGGTCCAAACTCTAAACTGGGTGGTTAAACCAAACTCAAGGTGATATTTTAAACTAAACCAGAAAACCCACAACACTCTAAATGTAATAAAAGGGAGATCTGCACCACAAAAAAGATGAACTCTAAACCAAAACATAACAGCTTATCCAAACGCATGAAGCTGTTAGCAAAAATGCTAACAGTAGCTTCGCCAACACTAAGTTCAAGTTACCAAGTTTAAATAAACCAAAAACACCCAGCAGCAAAATGGAGGAGAGACTGCTACCACCAAAACAGCTCTCCTAATGTCTGAAAGAAGCTCCTTTATGAAGGGAGAAACGCTCCCAGTGATTTTCTACATCTGCGGTAGAGACGGAGCAGCGCATCTGACCCCGGAAGTTGTTGTCCGTTGCCGGGAGACGAAGGTGGGCAAAACAGGAAAGGAATCTAGTAGCGGGCGGACATTGTTCCGGGTCTTCGGTACTTGGCGGAGATGTTAGTGAAGGTGGAGAAGAGGGCGAACTAGAGGAAAAACATGCAGATTCCTCTTCTATTTACAAACTCCTGGGGATGCAAAAAGTGGGCGCGGTGCGTCGACTACCGGATCTGACGTCGACAAATTTTTAGGATCGAGCCGTCAACGTCATCGACGCTTCGCTACAGCCCTACTTGTCAGCCATAGCTAGAGCTGG